TTTTTTTTTTTTCCCTTCTCATCCCCACATAATATAATTTTTTTTTGTTTTATTTATGTTTTTATTTATATCCATTCCCCTATATATGCCACATATTTCTTCCTTCTTTGGCTATACGTTTGTATATCTTCCCTTTTTCTTTTCTCTTTTGCATATATACCTTTATTTATCCCCCCTTCTCGGTATGGCGTAGGTGTTTACGTGTGAGTGTGTGTGCTGTGTAAGTGTATGAGTGAGAGAGAGATATATAGATATCGAGATAGATAGAGAAAGAGAGAGAGAGAGAGAAAGAGAGAGAGAGAGAGAAAGAGAGAGAGAGAGAGAGAAAGAGAGAGAGAGAGAGAGGGAAAGAGAGAGAGAGAGAGAGAGAGAGAGAGAGAGAGAGAGAGGGAAAGAGAGAGACAGAGAGGGAGAGAGAGGGAGAGAGAGAGAGAGAGACAGAGAGAGAGAGACAGAGAGAAAGTTGAAGCACATGTTTTATTACGCCCCAACCGACACAGTTTTACTAAGAGTTTTGCGGAACTTACAACACAATAAGGTCATATAAGTGCCGAAGACTAGAGGTGTTACAAGGGAGTAACAAACACACAAAAAAAAGGAGGGGAGATAAAGAGCCTTTAAATCTAGGAGGCCAAATTGCTTCGACACTGCAAGTCAAGGCCATCCTGGGCTGAGAGGGATACCTGATCCTGGCAGACAGACGGAGATACACGATTTAAAAAATCTCCCCACACAGGAATCGAATTCATATCTCCTGCCTGAGATGACAAAAGTGCCTAACCGCTATGCCACAGACGCCCGTGAAGAGTAATTTTGTGTGTTACGGTACAGGGGAGAAAGAAGGAGTTGTATGTTACAATGTAGGGAAGGAAGAGAGAAGGAGTTGTATGTTACAACGTAGGGAAGGAAGAGAGAGTGGGTAGTATGATATATTCCAGGGAAGGAAGAGAGTATGTTATGATCTATGGGAGTAAAAGAGAGTTGAGTTGTATGTTATGATCAAGGAGAGAAAGCGAGAAGGAGTTGTCGTCATAAGTCACGATCAAGGGGAAGACAAGAGAGTTTTTTTGTTTTTTTTATAGTAGAGGGTTTTATGGCGCTTGCAACTGCATAAGGTCATATGAGCGCCAAGGGGTGGGTGTCAACAGAGAAGTCTTTACAGGGAATCAGACTTAGAGACTGCTCACCTCTCTAGCTTTAACAGCACAAGGTAATAATAATAATAGATAGCATTTGTATAGCGCATATCCCCGCTCAACAGCAGGCTCTATGCGCTTTACACTATATTATTACCCCAGCAGACCATAGAACACTCCGAAACATTCACAGCTTCCCGGGAAGCATACAGTGCAAGCAGCCGATTAAGCGCTCAAACACTAACAAACTGACAAGATCTTTCGCTGTCTATAGCCAGGTACCCATTCCCACCTGGGTGAAGTGAGGAAAATTCGTGTAAAGTGCCTTTCCCAAGGACACAACGTCGGGTCTTTGACGGGATTCGAACCCACGACCTTACGGTTGCCAGTCCGAGAGCCTAACCACTAGGCCACCGACGCCACTTCGACTATCAAGGCACCCCGGAAATAGCAGGTCACAAGAGAGTGACAAACATACAAAAGAAGTAGAGGAAATGACAATAGTAAGGATCAGGAAAGAAAAAGCAGCAGTTCCCTGTCGTAGATCAGGCACAGTTATGAGCGTGACATGAGTCAGCCCATTTACAATTCTACTATGCTTGAACGAGAAATGTCCCCCCTTTGGGAATGGCCTAAAGACACTTCAGTCAGTGGCACTGCCCCAGGGGTAGACAAGAGAGTGAGTTGTATGATATGACCTGGGATGGTAAGAGAGTATGAACTGTATATCATAGTCAATGGCGTTGAGATGGAAAATGGGGGACACAGAGAGAGGGATGTAGGTCGTATTCAGCGGTACTGGAAGTGGGAGAAATAGAGACTTGTACATTCTATTCTGAAGGAGAAAAAGGTCCACAGAAGAGACAACATCACGTCCCACTTATGAGAACTGGTTCTTACTTCTAGCAATGTCAATATAGCACTCTGAGAGCGAGAAGTGACCATGTCCATTGAAGTTCATAAATATCAAACCAGTCCGCCTAGTAGTATGCCACAAATGCAATCCCTGATGTGTCTATGTCTAAGAGTAACTCTTTTTAACTCACTTCAGACGGGTCACACAACAGTTGCGTGACCCCCGCCATGACGCTCGCGACGGGTCTCACAAGCCCTGCGTGACCAACTTTGGAATTTTTTTTTCGCTCTACAAATCACGCACGCATCGCGAGACCCGCCTCGTACCCTTGTTTGGCCAAGCCTGAGCTACTTAGACTTCGTTTCGTATCTCTGGGGCCGGTAGTTTTTAAGTTATTGAAGGTGTAGGACAGTGACCCCTACTGGGGTTGAACAGACCGGAACTCGCGCTTTGTTTTTTTCTATACAGCTCATAGTAATCCGACAGTCGCGTCGTAGTAACGGTCGAAGAAGTCGCATGAACAAGAATCACATAATTTCGCCGTTTTCTATACTTCTGTGCGTTTTACTAGTTCTAGTGTCTCAGAATATGATGTGTCTAATAGTTAGGATCCTGGATATGTACCCGAACACGGCCTGAGTCGTAGTTCTAGGGCTAGATCTAGGACTAGTACCGGTGTTGTTTTTCGCGCAACGAAATCACAACGTCGTGCCGTACATCTGTCTCATGTAATTCAATGTATGGGTCTGAATCAATGCACAGACCAGCTTTTATATTTTCACCAAACACTTGCACATGTATACAAATCAAACCAGAACACTTTGAACTTTTATTTTTGTTGTTGCAGTGAATTTCATTCTACTTGTCACGTCTCTGGAAATTTTTCGAAAATCAAATTCATGCCAATTTTTTAAAAATCATACAAATTAAAGTATTAGACTTAGACA